TTAAAAGTTTTGGCGATAAGCAAACTCAATAAAAAGATCAACAGTTTATTTTCGTTTCCAATCTCTTCCGCCTGACTTTTTTTGTAACAATTAACGAAAGTGCTGTCTCTGACGATAAACCGGAAGTAAATTCAGTCTGTTCCGCCCTCTATTGCCGATATTAAAAAATTGAGAATGAGAGACATGATTTATAGAGGGCGGCAGACCTATAATCTTTGCCACCATGCAGTTAGTTTTAGATTTTCGTAATACGATAAAATGAACATTAATTCATGTAAATAGTACGCAAAAAGTTTTAACACTCCGATTCTTGAGTTTTCGCTTATAGTACGCAAAAACCTCCGAATTTAGAGGATTGATTAAAAGTTTCTAAACTCCGATTTCGGAGTTTTCGCGTATAGTACGCAAAACCTCCAAAATTGGAGGGTTAATTAAAAGTTTTGGAAAATCCGATTTCGGAGTTTTCGCGTCGGCCTATAGGCTGAATATCTACCGTATCTTCTAAAATTCACCTTCACCCAATGCCGTAGCCAGCTATTGGGACAGTCCCACACAATTTTTCTAATGGGTCCACAAAGAATTGCAGAGATCCCAATTCTCCCGAGAATTGCGGGTTTCTCCCGATTTTTGAGGCCGTCTCCCGCCCTCCCGATTTTTATTATTATCTCCCGATTTTCTTTAATATCCCGAAAATTTCACGAAAAATGTGATTTCCACGATGTCATAGAGCAATGAAACAAAATTTCTTATCTTAAGCCAATATACTATGGCGCTCGCTCAGCCATAAAATGTCATAAACAAGGCCAGGGAGTTGTTATTAAGTTGTTTATCAAAATAACAACTCAGGGCAAGGCAGGCCTAGATCCGTGGTAGAACAGACTTGTTTATCCTCCATGTTACGATCTTTTGCATCCAGTGCCGGCCGACCTCATTCAATGAGATGGATGTCAGTTGAGTAAATAAATTTCAACAAATAGTAACGAAATCAGAAATCACATGGGAATGGATGGGGCCCGAAGATTTCGCCGCGAAGATTTGGAACAGAATCGGTGCATAAAAATTACTTTTTGTTTCAAGTAAGCTTCAGTTCTTTAATAACAATACTAAAAAAATTATAGTTAATAGGTTTTGGTACTAAGCAGTCTTCCGAAAAATGAAGTTTATTTTAATATCGATCCCAAAATACATGTAGGGCTTAGGCCTAGGCACTATCTGCAACACTGCAGGGTATGTACTGTATGTGTGCTGTGTTGGGTGGGCGTGTGTGTAGTGGTGGTTGTGACTCTGCGGTATTAGGCCTAGTTACGCACGTATAGATGGAGCCTTGCGAGGCAGGATTTAATGTTTTTTTCATGGCATTATGTACCAGTTCTTATAGGCTTAACATATATAAATGCTGACTTAAAACATGTAGTATGATTTACTAACTAAATTAAAATATATATATATTTTTAATTTTTCAGCAAACGTGTGAATCTTGCAAGTTGCAGTTACCTTGCTAGAATTCTATGTTCTTTGATGAGATGTAATAAATCAGCCATAGCCTCTAACATACCAATGAACCAAGCAAAGCCTTGTTGACTGCTGCCAAGAACGCTTTACTAGTTAAATGCTAAATAAATAATAATATTTATAAATTTATATTTTAGGCCAACTGCAATGTGTAAACAAATGTAAAATTGTTAATTAAAAGTAAACAAATTGATGAAAATTGTTTTTATACACATCTAGATGTGTATAAGAGACAGACTTTCATGTTGCACAGCGCGTTGTAAGGCGTCACAGCGCGTCGCTACAGGAGGCGATCGCTTCATGAAAAAAATCTCCCTATTTTTTGGTTTTCAAACTTGGGATCTCTGGAATTGGTCCACATTTTTTTTAAATATGTTCAAATTATGTAATTTTATGCATAAAATGGGTCCACTTCTTGAAAAATGGGTCCACAAATTTTTCATATTTAGCTTAAAATAGGTAGAATTTAAGAAAATGGGTTCAGAGTTTTCATAATTTTGCGTTAAAAGGGTCCACATTCTTTGAATTTACGCGTAAAGTGGGTCCACCCTGTTATTGTCTCGCACTATTTGAAAAGCCTGGCTACGGCATTGCCTTCACCCACTCTGTTCATTCTTACCCTAGGCCCTACTAGGAATCCTCATCGAATTAAAACTGTTGTAAGCGTACGCTTCAAACCAGAGCTGCTCATTTCTTTCTCACAGCATAATAATATTGATTCTCATTTCATTCTGCTCTAAAGATTTCATTTTTTTCAATTTATTTTTTTAAAAGTTAATTAGATTAGGCTTCATAGGCCTATTGGTTTATAGGTCGTGTCGGGAGTGGCATGACGTGTATGTGCTTAACAAACTGCAACTTTATTATAACGTAAGAATTGTTTGTTGCTTTAAAAATATCTGTGTTTGGCTGTCAAAAAGAAAAAAAAAAGAAAGAAAGAAAAAGAAAAAAGTGATCGCCCAAAATGCCTCAAAGTTCACACGGGCCATAATGCACACAGGACCAACGGTTTAAACTTCTCATCCGAAAGATGGTAGGCCCTACGCTATCGTTACTTGCATTTCAGAGCAGCGGCGATGGGAATGAACGTAGATATTTCCACGGTTCAGCGCACACACAGTGGCTTCAACCAGCTTCGCCGACTGAGCTGAGCTAAGCTGCTCTCCTCACACTAGAAAAATGTCCCAGCTCAAGGAATGTTTAAATACAATTATACCGTAAAGCCCTGTCCAGACTATCAAATTTTATTTGAAAAAAACATGTGACATGCCTAAATATGGTCTTGATGACATCATATCATTACCATAGACACATCATGACTATATATGGGCATATAACAGTTTTTTGTCGGAAAAAAAATTGATAGTCGGGACAGAGCTTTAGTATAGCCATGATGTGCCTATTTTGTTATGATGTGATGTCATCATGACCATATTTAGGCATGTCACATGCTTGTCAAATAAAATCTGATAGTCTAGTCAGGGCTTAACACAATAACAATGATTGATAGAATGAATAACAATTACTGTTTCGGAACAATTATTTGAATCGATAATTTTATGATATATCATTTATTGAATAAAATAATACAAAGTTGAGGAACAAATTAAGTACAGGCCCCTCGTTTAAAATAAGTACCCTACTTAACTATAAGTATATTACAATATTATTGCTTCTGAATAAAAAATCCAAGAACATATCTGAAAGACTGAGTGAACGTATTTTTCCATTCTCAATTACCCTATAATGGAAAGCATGCCTATAGCCCTAAGCCTTATTTATTACAACTAAGTACAATTACTAATTAATGTAAGAAATCCTACACACGTCGATTCCAATGGGTTCATAATATTTTTCGATTGTAAACTGCAATTAAGACCCGCCTCATCATTTGATGATATTTGATCATGATCTGTATATATGTATGTAACTCGGCTAACATCATATTTGTAGAAAAAAAAAATACGTATACATGACGTAATATTATAGCACCATGTTCTGACCTTCTGACTAAATAGCATTGCAAACTTTGCCCTAATGCTTGGTTTCCATACAATCGTTACACGCTATCGCCAACAGCTTTCTTTGATTCTGATTGGCCGGTCGAATCGGGAAGCCTTCCCGATTGCGTCGGTGACTGCGTATACGCAGTACAACGATTGCGCTGAAAACACTGCAGCGACAGTGTAGTGATTGTATGGAATCAGGACAGGCCTAGTGAAATGCACTAATTATTGTTATTGTCTGAAGTTTTGTTTGCATGGCGAAGTAACAATAATAAAAAATGCTTGCGCTACACTGCGTAGACAGTCTGAAAAGAACTGTTACGTTTCTGGTGGTGTTTCGATTGAGTTGCGTCAATCGTAATCAGAATAATATTATAGCATTATAGCAAGCATTTATTATTACAGCAATGGTGTGCAGAATGCAGGTAGAAAAAAAAAGATAAAAAATAATCTTTTTGAAGATAGAAACAAATCCTTTTAAAATTATTTACAGACGTTTTAATACGGAATCCTCAAATGTATTATCTATTAGTTATTTATTGCCTGGAATTTAACACTATATGTAAAGAATATAAAATGGTATATTTATTAAAACGTCCGTTAATTGGCGAAGACAAAATTAATTTGCAGCGTAAATTACCTTGGGTTTCCTTATCCAATTTGTATAACCAACAAGATGTGTATAAGAGACAGTATATATATATATATATATCATCAAAAAAGGTAAATAATTCTTAAGAAGCTGTTTATAACGCCTGTTCACTAATTAAAATTAAAATAAACTGGCCCAAAACGTATGTATAAAAATGCAAAAATAAAATAACTTAACAAGACAGGTAATAAGAGAGAAAACCAAAGATTGAGTTTTGACGGAGAAAAAAAAACCCGAGATAAAATAACTCAAGATGTAGGTAGAATAAAAATATGTACGGAATTGTGCCCCCTTCAATACTTATGTTATTTATTTGTTACATTTCAATGAATATTGTAATTTACGTTTTGAAGAAAATAAATGTTAATTTTGATTGATTGATTGATCCAAAACACTATCTCTTACCAGTTAGCATTAAAGTGCACTGAAGTTAAACAATAAATGAGTGAAAACCAGCATAATTTAAAAAGTACAAAACATTAAAGTGCCCTAAAATATTTGGTCAAATGGAAAGCAAAATACATGAATTACACCATTAAAAAACTTGTTTTTAGGAAGCTATTTATAATGGGTGACATCTTAATGGAATCGCTACACAACGTCTCGGCAGTCATTCCATGGGAATGCTGGGGAGGTTAACTTGGTTCAAACTTCCCTATCTGTCGATGTCGGAAATAAATCAAGGTGATGCCACGATTGTGCCCAGGAGGGGTACGGAGTGTTGCGGCTGCAATTGAGTATTTTATATATATATAAAAAAAAAAACAGACTAACATACCAGGAACCTTAGAACCTTTTGTATCGACCTTATACACTACGGGTTACCGTACGCTTTATATTGTACAGTCATATAACTCTTAAATAAATTAAAACTCGCCTAAAATTATAATGGTAAAATATAGGAAAATAGAATTATTTTGGAAAGTTCTCATTTCGGCGAAATTTACATGCCACTTCTTCTGCCACATAATCATTATTTTATTATTATATAATTAAAATAATTATTATATTATTATAGCCTTTGAATGCAGTCAATATTGATGCAGTTCTAATTAAATATTAGTTAATCGATCTCTGCGTAGTGATATAATTTTGACTTGAAATGATCTGACGAAACATTATATTGCAGTGGTCGTGGTCGTTCTGATGCATGCAAGTTTTTCTATGGTACCGTACGTATACTTAAAACTCAATATCTTTCCAAAGGGAATGTATATATACCCGGATAATGACAATAGTTGCGACATGCACCTCTTGAAGATCTTGTTGACATAATATCTTCAGTATTTTAGAATAAATTAATACATTTCTGCTTTCCGTAACATTGGCTCAATTTCTCTGCTTTTAGCCTCGATGTCACGATACTCGGCCCTCCAGTTGTTGCCACTTGGTATTCTTACAATCTACAAGGCAAACGAATATTATTGTCAAATTTAGCAAATAGCGTGTTTGCTTCAATTTAATTGCCAGTGTGAATTCTCACTGACTGCACGTATTTATACAGCGATCGTTTTAATTTAACGTGGTACTTTCAGGAATTATCCACAAACTTTACGAACTGAGGCCCAGTGTTTTCGCCCCGCCTTCCCCATAACTCCCGTGAATTCTTCCTCCCTTTGAGCCTCAACCTATTAGTGAATCTGTCCCTGGGTCAAAAAGTGGCACTAAGATTTTTTTTGTTAATTTTTGGTCTTGTTTAGAGAAATCGGGCTGGAGTTTGCCAAATTCACTTATGCAAATATGCGTACCGGCACATGGGAGGCCGAAATTCACTAAGAGACATCATGTGACTATGTTATTTAATTCACTAATTCAATTTAATATATTTATTTAAATAATCAACTTCGCTAAATAGCGTAAATTACCTTGGGTTTCCTTATCCAATTTGTATAACCAACATATATTATAAGTGTAAGAAGGATAGCTGGAATACAATAGAGCAGGAAGTTATTGGCGGCTTGTGGGTTTACAGTAGTCGATGACGGATGTGAATTATCCAACTGCCAGTTTGTGTGTATACCCGGCTGGAAAGAAATATAAAGTTATTAAAGTATTATTAACCTATATGTATGTGTGTGTATACATACATACAACATGTACATACATATATACATGCAACCGGATATAATCTAACGTTGTTTTAGCAATTAATAGAAATATGTGGTCTTATAACGGGGCATACCTTAAGTATAATTATAACTTATATGTAATATGAGTATATCGCATCGAATACAATGGATTTGATATATAAATTAATAATAACATAAGTAAACTGCGCCTATTATTATAATGAATAATGACATATATTAAAACTACCTGTAGTCGATCCCCAGGAGAGAAAGGTTTCGGCGGAACATTACCACCGCCAAACTTTTCTTCAAAAGTTTTATAATCTTCTTCTTCTTGTTTCAGGATATTTTGGTAACTTTCATCATCCAAACTTTCGTATGGATCGAAAGGTTCTTCCCCGTTACTCTCAAAATCCCATACATCATTATCAATCGGTTGGTTCTTGTTTTCGTCGTTTAAATTATTTCCGTTGCCAAACAGGTCGAACGAATAGTAACTATTTTCGCTTTTATCTGGATAGTATTGGTTAAGCAAATCATCGTCGTAATCATCTGGATTTGGATAAAGGTCATCGTCGCCATAATTGTTCTCCCGCCAACCCCAATAATCAGGAGTTTCAGTTCCTGTATATGCATAGTCTATCGTGGTCTTCTGATTAGTCGAATTGACATTTGGACTATCTGTTGCATCTTGAGGTTGTAAGTCTGGGTTGACATAACCAGCATTTGGGGAAGGTGCTATTGGATTATAATATTGTTGGTTAAGATCACCAGGATTTTGGTTTTGTGGCAGTCCTGATTCCGCCTGAGGTTGTAAGTCTGGGTTGACATAACCAGCATTTTGAGAAGGTGCTATTGGATTGTAATATTGTTGATTAAGATCACCAGGATTTTGGTTTTGTGGCAGTCCTGATTCCGCCTGAGGTTGTAAGTCTGGGTTGACATAACCAGCATTTTGTGAAGGTGCTACTGGATTGTCATATTGTTGATTAAGATCACCAGGATTTTGGTTTTGTGGCAGTCCTGATTCCGCCTGAGGTTGTAAGTCTGGGTTGACATAACCAGCATTTTGAGAAGGTGCTATTGGATTATAATATTGTTGGTTTTGTGGAGACTCTGAATCTGCTTGTGGCTGTACAGGCAAAGGTTCTCCAGAACCCGGCATTTGTTGGCCTGCGTTCGGAATATATTGTTGGTTGACATCACCAGCTTCTGGCACCTGTGGTACATAAGGTGAATTGATATTTCCTTCATATTGATTTTGTGGCAAACCTTCTAATTCTGGGACTTGAGGAGGTTCGTACTCTCCTAAAATTTGGTTTTGATGCTGCACAGGTTCACCCGATGACGGGACTCCTGGAACAGTTCCAGTTCTGGCTGTTTGTGAAAGTGCACCTTGTGGCGAACCTGGTGGAGGGACACCCTGTACTGAATCTGGTTCCTGTCCAGTGACGACTGGTTGCTCCTTATTACCGTAGCCAGGTGCCATGTTATATTTTCTGTAAGGAGAATTATCAGCACCAACCATTGAAGCCACTGGTTGTTGTTGTTCAGGTGACTCATCCGGGACATTATTTGTTGGATATCTTTGATCAGCTATCTGTCCATCTGGCAAATTTTGGTTTATGTCTGATAAGAAAAAAAATAACAAAAACAAATAATGATTTCTGAAAAAACCCTTGACTTACTTTAAGAAAATTTACCAAAAACTTTATGTATGTCTAATGAATGTATCAATTCGTCCAGCAGCTACGATGATGTGATCATTCCCACCTTGTTCGGGCCCTAGTTCTCCTTCGACAGCAGGCTTTCCAGACGAAGGTATTGTTAGACCATCTCCAGATATATATTGCCCTTGGGCATCATTGAGGAGTTGTCCAGATGCCGGTATCACAGATAGATCTACAGGTTGTCCTGATCTGGAAGCGTCGTCTAGAGGTAGAGCCATGGTTTCCTGTGGAGGGACATCTTGTGGTGCATTTGGTTCCTGTCCTGTAACGGCTGATTTTTCCTGATCACCGTAGCCAGGTGCCATGTTATATTGTCTGTACGGTGAATTATCAGCACCAACCATTGGAGCACCTGCTTCCTGTTCAGGTGATTCATCTGGGACATCATTTATTTTATCAGCTAACTGTCCGTCTGGCTGATTTTGGTCTCCTAGATTTTCTTGATAATTGTCTGGCAGTTCATTGGTGTCTGGATGAGAAAAAAATAATGAAAACAAGTAATGGTTTATATTTTTTTTAAATGCTGATTTACCGGTATTGCATTTGTAAAAACATACTCAAAACAACAAACTTCTTTGGAAGTGGAGAGCTGCCCCCACCCATTCGGAGAAAAACACACAATTCGTTGGGAAGAAAAAAGTATGTAATTTTTTACATCAGTAGACTGTAAACGTGATTGAATAAGCTTTTAAAACCCCTAAATTGTCATAGTTACCAGGGGTTCGCCCTTAGACACTTTCGAGAGATGTTGATTGACGCCTGACCACGCCAACTAAAGCTTGGTTTCCATACAATTGTTCACCCTATCGTCGACAGTTGCGAACAATTGTCGGGAAGGTTGAACCTGCGCAGACGCAATCGGGAAGGCACCCTGATGTGTGTTCGATAACTAATATAATGCAAGCTTTTTTGTTTTTAGTACAGTACATTTTGATGGTAAAATATTAGATTTTAAAATGCCTATTCCAGAAAGCCTACGCAGTCATTCAGGCGTAATGAACGGTAACCAACGTCTGTTGACAACAGAGAGCGCACCCTGGCGTGGTGACGACACGACTGTGGATAGATGATGCGATCACCTCCCACTGGGAGAAGAATGATTATATAATAAAAAATATAACAATATTAACAAGTCACACAATGTGTTTTGACAGCCATCAGACTCTATTTCTATAGCGTCACGCTATGTGCATCTTTATTCCTTATGCTTTTTACAAAATCAGCGACGCGTAAACGCAATTTAAAATGTATAGTAAAATAACAAAGCTTGGCCAATGACAAGCACCCCACCCCAAGCATGGATTCAGCAGGTCGTTTTCAAAAACAATCTCATCGATGTCCATCAGTGGTTATTAATCTGTAGGTAGATCTTGTGATAGATATGTAATCACCATTAACCGAAAGGTCCACTGATTAATCTCAGATAAGAAAGTATAATACATACTCCAAGTTGGAGTATGTATTATACTTTCTAATCACCATTACTTATAATAGAAGGCCTACCACCTTCGTTAGTTATAGTAAAAAATTAGCCGGAAGTCAGTTGAATTTGGTAGAAAAAATTAATATGGAAAAGTTATAGAGAGTGTTAAGCAATGGATATAATAATGAATGCACATCAAGTACAGCATATTTTAAGTAATGATTACCATATACGTATGCCTTTAAATAATACCTTCATAATCATTTTATTATTATTATTAAATACTTTATCATAATAATATGCATAACAATAATTATTCATTAATTATTATCATTATTTAAAAAATCATTAATATTGTAGTTATGTATGCACCATGTTATATGTTAAATGACAGTTATATCTGCGATGTGTCTTTACTTATCAACGAAGTAAGGGTTTTATTTATTTATTTTTCGATTTATGTTTTCCATGTTTGTAAGTTGTACGTTTAAACAAATTTGTGTGGGTCATTCTTGCCTCCCATTCCTTATTCTTTTTATCAGTTTTGTGTGAATTATATCGTGTATGGTAATGAGAAATAAATATGATTCTTGTATCTTGTAATACTGTACGTGGCTATATCGTTTTAAGAGGTAAAAGTTTTCGTAAATGTGAAAAACAGCGTCATCCATTAAACACACAATGTACCACGTATAAGGCTTATGTCGTCTTCACTAGCTCAGCATATTTCCAATTGGGTACATGGGGAGGGGTTGGG